CTTTTCTGGATTATAGTGACGGCAACTCACACGGTTTAGTTTTTCCTAACAGTTTCTCATTCCCCTTCAGTTCCATTTTCTCAAACCTTGATTTTCCAACAGTAGAATAATTTGGTTTAGACATTTTGTAGGGTGAGCCTTTTCAATTTCAAAGTGAAATTTCAGGAGGTAACAATCCTCAGGCTTTCTGAGTTTTCTCATTCATTTTGCTATCAGCAAGATTCTTAGCAATCGTATGCTTAATTTAACATTCTTTCAATTTATTACCTACTGCTCTTGCAAAGTTTATAATCATAGAACCATTATCAACATGGAAGATTAAAGAATTGCCCCCACAGAAAGAGTCATTTTCTCACTCACTGAAGTGCTGCCCCTCACCCCAGCCATCATCTGCTTATTCACTTTAGCTGCTGTTATTAGTCCATCAGTACTGGAGAGTTTTTGAAGAGGGTTAAGTGTGGCAGAGCTGGAGTTTGGGGGCTAATTCATGTTGTTGCTTTCCAGAGACGGAGGAGATGGCAATACTATAATCCAGGGCCTCACTAATGCCAAGATACCATTCTGTTCAATAAAAATCCTATCAGTACACGGTGGGACTTTATGATCTTGTCAATGAGTGACAGTCTCCACCTGCAGGGAAAATCCCACTTAAATTCCCATGAGCTGTCATTGGTTTAAATGGAAAGGAAAATTAAGGAGATGTTTCTAAGGAAAATAAGAACTTCCAGACCCAGGTGGAGACCTCCAGGAGCAAGAAGAGGACCCAGCACACTGCTGTCAGAAAGTGGTGTTCTGCCATGGTTCTTTCCTCCCTTGCCAAGTGGCATTCTGTACTGGGGTGATGGTTGGCACCTCAGGGACTTAAGACTCATTACCGTGTAAGCTGAAAATTGTTCTCTGCCCTTGGGCTTCCCATCGAAACTCTAAGCAGTCAGGATCTTCATCTCTTGACTGATTGTGATCCAGGCAGCCAGTGCAGCTCAGAGCTTGGACGAGCTTTCTCAGCTCAGGTGTCGTCTCAGAGAAGCCTTTCCTGCCAGTCAAGCGAAGCAGCTCTGGTCTCCTCACTCCACACCTGGTTCCCCAAGGTTTATTGGCCACAACATTCAGTGGTTATTGGAGGGGTCTGTAGTTTTGATTGGCTAATTTTGTTTTTAAAATACTTTATGTTTTACTAGAAGGTCAGTTCATGAGAATAGGGATTCTAGCTGCCCTATTGACACCTACTTCTTCGTGCCTTGATAATATGAAGCCCTTAGTAGGCCCTCAACCAGTGTTTTTTGTATGAAAAATAGCAATTGGCAGAATAAGAGCACGGACTGACAGGTTTGCATGCTAGTTTTGCGGCATTGCAGTACATCACTGGGTGCATTCCTGAACCACTCTGAGCTTAGTGGCCCTCAGTGCAATAAAGTGATAAAACAGCTAACTTTCAAGATTTCTGAGAGAGGAAATAAAAGTGGTGTGTAAAAGTACCGATAGAAAACATAGCCCATAATATAGCTTCAGTTGCTACAAGATGAAGGTTAAAGGCATCCACTGCAGAATCTGTCAGTTCTAGTTGTGAATCCTTGCTCAGCTGCTTACAGTGATCTTAGACAAGTTACTTAACATCTGTGCGAAGGAGTTTCCTCATTATAAAATGTGAATGGTAATGGTGTCCACCTCATTGAGTTGTGGTGGTTAATGAAGTAATTCATATAAACACTTGGATAGTTGTTGGGTACATAGAAAACATTCAGATTATTACTGGGCTGGGGATACAGCTCAGTGGCACAGTGCCTGCCTGGCAAGCACAAAGTCATGAGTTCAATTCCCAGTACCACAAAAAAAAAGTCTTGCCCAGGCTGGGGATGTAGCTCAGTGGGCCCAGTGCCTGCCTAGTAAGTGTGAGGCCCTGAGTTTGATTCCCAGTACCAAAAAAAAAGAAAAAGGAAGAAAAGAAAAAAAATTATTACTGTTTTTTAAGCCACATTGCAACATTGCAGTTGTCCTATAGTGAGAGTGTATAATTTTAAAAGTAAATCTTGAAAGTTCTAGTTAATGCAGTAAGGCTTTAAAAGAAATTAAAAGTATAATAATTAGATGGGAGTCTTAAACTGTGTTTGTTCATAGGTCATCTGATTGTTTATAGAGCAAATGTGAATTGATCAAAATATCCTCCTGAAACTGATGTCATTATCTCAAGGTTGCAGAATACAAGGTTAATATGCTAAAGTCAATAGCTTTTCTATATTCCAACAGCACCAAAAATAGAATCTGAAATTAATAGCATCAGACCATTTTCATTAATATTTTTCAAAGTTAAATGCTTAAATTTAATAAAATACGTACCTGCTGTATGCAAGGAAAACTACAAACTCATGAAAGAAATGAAAGAATAACTAAATAAACAGGCATTCCATGTTCATGAACAGGAAGGCTCAACATTATTTGTGTTTGATCAAACAGTGGAATCCCCATCAAAATCCCAAGAAGTTATTTTTATAAATGTCAATAAACTGATTTTAAAGTTTAGATGCAGAAACAAAAAAGCCAAGCTAGCCAACATAATATTGAAGGAGAAGGACAAAGTCAGAAGACTATCATTACTCAACCTCAACTTTTACTACAAATGTACCTTAATCAAGATAGTGTATTTTGGTGAAAGACCAGACAATAGAGATCAATGGAATGGACTAGAGAGGCCATATAAATGTAATCAACTATCTTTGTTGGAGGAACAAGGTAACAGATACTCTTTAACAAATGATGCTTAAACGTACATAACATATCCACATTCCAGAGACAGAAAGAATCTAGGAACAGACCTTATACTTTTCACAAATTAGCTCAAAATGGATAAAAGCCCTAAAACTAGATGCAGAACTATGAAACTCCAAGAAGATAACTAGAGGAAAGTCTAAATGACTTTGTGTATGCCTATGATATGTTATATACAACACCAAATGATCCATTTAAAAAATACAGTTGAGATAGTCTTTATTAAAAGACTTTACTAAAACTTTGACTCCATGAAAGACCTGGTATGGAGAATGAGAATACAAACTACAAACTGGAAGAAAATATTTGCAAAAGACACATCTGATGAAGCACTGTTACCTGGAAAATACATGAAGAACTTTTAAAATTCAACAGTGAGAATACAAACGACCTGATGAAAAAATGGGCAAAGACTTGAACCAATGCGTTACTAAAGGAGATACACAGATGGCAAATAAACTTTGAAAAGATACTTAACATCATGTCATTAGGAAATTGCAAATTGAGTTAGCACAGTAAACCTAGTAGAATAGTCAAAATGAAGAAAACTAACAACAAAAGCTGCTAAGTTATGGAGACTTTCATTCATTGCTAGTGGAAAGAAAAAATAAAGACAGGCGCTTTGAAACGATTTACCAGTTTCTTACAAAATGTAAGGTGCTCTTACCGTATAACCCAGTAGTCTTGTTCCTGAGTATTTTCCCAGAGATGCCGAAAACTTACGTTCACTCAAAAACCCCCACATGAATATTTATGTTTAGTTTATTTGTAATGGCCAAAATGTGAAAGTTACCAAGCTATCCTTAGTAGGTGAACAAATTTTTTTAAAAGATACATCCAAATAATGAAATATTCAGCACTAAAAAGAAGTAAACTGTTAAGCCATAAATCATGGCAGAGGTTTAAGTGCATATTACTACGTGAAAGAAGTCACTTTGAAAATTTTGCATACTGCATGATTCCAACTATATGGCAGTCTGTGAAGACAAGAAGTAAATCACTGATTGCCAGAGAAAGAGGGGGAATGTATAAATGGAGCACAGAAGAATTTTAGGGCAATGAAAACTACTCTGTGATACTATAATAGTTGACACAGCTCTCCATGTGTATTTCAAAACTCTATGAAGTACAACACCAAGAATAAACTCTTATGTAAGTTATGGACTTTGAATGACAAGGATGTGTCAGGGTAGCTTCATTGATTTTAACAAATACAACAAATGTACCACTCTGCTATGGGATTTTCATAATGAGGGGAGAAAGCATATAGATATATGGAAAGTCTCTGCAAATTCACTTCAGTTTTTCTGTGGACCTAAAGCTACTCAAATAAATAAATAAATAAATAAATAAATAAATAAATAAAGGGTATTTATTTATAAAAAAAGGGTAAACATTTAAAACTCATACGATCACCATGAATTCATAATCTTTCATTTGTTCCTCTGCATTCCCCTTTAAGTTCTATCCTTTCTCTTAATTTTTCATTGTTCCCTTATTGCTTTGCTAAAAAAGATAAGGTGTTGTGATGGATGGGTGGGTAAGTGGGTGAACTTGGCAGTGTCAGTCATTTTTCCTGAGAGTAAAACATGATGTCCTGAGACTAAAACATGATGTCCTTCATCAGATGTGTCTTTTGCGAATATTTTCTTCCAGTTTGTAGCTTGTATTCTCATTCTCCATACCAGGTCTTTCATGGAGTCAAAGTTTTAGTAAAGTCTTATAATAAAGACTATCTCAACTGTATTTTTCATCTGATTCCCAAAGCAGTGGTTCCCAAAACTGTCTGTCCAATGTCAGAAATTATTTTCAGCAGCTTTTGAAAAGTACAGATTGCTGGGCTCCATTCCAGTACATTCTGATTCCATGCAACTAGAATGAGACCCAGGAATCTGAACTGATGGGTAAGGGTAGATGTAGGGATCCTTTGGGTTCTTGCTGTACCCCAAGCAGGAACGGCGGCAAGAATGAGTTAAAAATAGACAAGAGACAAAAGCTGGGATCAGGTGAAGGTGCTCTTTCTCAGTGGAGAAGGGAAACTGCCCAAGAACAGTAGAGCTTTTATTTATATCATGAGGTTGGTTAATTTTTGCCTCGCTGTCCAGCAATCAGTTAACAAGCTACAACGGCTTGTTTACACACTTTGAGGAGCTCCGGTCCTCTCGGAGCTCCCATGTTCTCAGGCTGGCTTCTTCCTGCACCTGTAATTACCTTCCAGCTTCTGTGGCTCCCAACAGGTAGATGGGAGTGGAAGGACCAGATCCCACAAGCCATCTCCTGACTTCGGACCTGAACCAGAGGCCATGAGGAACGTTGTAAACAAGGAGTGGAGGGGTGAGGTTTCCTGTGGGGGGGAAAGTGAAATTGGAGAGTGGGGGGGGAGCGATGAGAAGAGTCTTTGCATGAGAGCTGGCTTATCACTCAGTTGAATGAGATCTGGGGGCAATGATAAAATTGGTGTAGAAGCCTAAGACCCTGAACATTAATCTTAATAGGGTAGTGAGATCTGATATTAAAGATACTGATGAATTTATATTTCTCCCTTTGACCTGCAGTGTTGAAGTCGTGCATTTTACCTCTTCACTAACTGTGGTTTGTGAGCTCTTAGGGTTCTGAAAAACAGAATCAATTGAGGGGGAATTATAGAGGCTAACAAGACCCAAGATCTGCAGTTAAATCCCCAAGAGCCAATGGTGTAGTCCCAGTCCCAAGCTACAAGCCCGAGGACCAGGAAAGGTAATAGAGGAAGTTCCACCCAAAGCCAACAGCTGCAAGACCCAAAAAAAGCAGTGTTTCAGTTCAAGTTCAAAGACAGGGAAAGACTGTGTTGTACCTCAAGGCAGTCAGACACAGAAAGTCACTCCTTCTGTGGAGAGGGCCAGCCTTTTCGTCTTGGCCAGGCCTTCACCTGGCTGGATGAGGACCACTCACACTGGTCAGGGTGATCTGCTTTACTGAGGCCGTCCTTCAAATGTTAATGTCAGATGATTCAGAAACAGCATTATGGAAACACCCAGAATAACGTTTGACAAAGTAAGTGGGCACACTGTGGCTTCCTTAACTGTCACAGAAGCCATTTCCATTCACCACGGATAGAGTTGCAGGATAATTTCTCCATGTGTTGGGCATTTGATATTCTGCTATCAGTCCCTATTACCTCCCCACCTCATGAGCAGCCCTAGTGTCAAATTGGCAACATCTGTCATCTTTCCAGCTCCCTTGCTTATTTACAAGGCGTTTGGGACTTGGCGAATACATAGCGGGGATTCTCCAGCTCTTTCCTAGTTATGTAAAGGGCATCAGTGAAAGTCACATAAAAGCTCAAGATGGCAGCCTAAGAGCTGAGTCTGCTTTCTTTATGAAGTTCAGTGTAGAATGTTTTTCATTTCCCTGATTAATTTTAAAAGCAAAGTGAAATGAAGCCTGAACATTGCAGTGTTGAACAGCTGGAAGGTTGTTCCTGCTCACCTCCTATGTAAGGCAGGGCATTGCTATTTGTTTTATTTTATTAAATACCACCTCGCTTCTGAAGCAAAAGTGGCTCTCTCCTTCGGTGGAGACAAAGGAGTGTCCTGCACAGGCCGCTTCCCTGTTGCTGCACCTGAAGGTGGCCACCCGCCTTGTTCCAAGACAGATGTGAGCTTCAGTTTACTGTTGAACTTATTGTTTATTCAGCTTAATTACATAGCCTTTCAATATTTCCTTCTGCTGCTGCCCCCTCACACCGCACACCGTGCTGTGGCACCACGGGGGGAAAAAGGAAAGGTCTTTTAAGCTGAAGCTCTTAATTAGCTCAGGGGCCCCAGGAGAAGCCTGAGATGGAAATGCAACCAAAAAGGAGGGAAAGAATAGCTGCACTTGAGATGCAGTGACCAATGGTAGCAAAATACTGACTACCTTCCAGGCACGCCTGAACTATTAAAATTTTTCCAGGATCCATGGCCCTTCTGGAGTCACATCTATGATAGTGTCATGCTTCCAGCTAATTTCCGGTTGTATTCTTTTATCCTGCCATTGAGGCTCATTTCTGCAGGACCTGGTGGTTTCTATTTTTCCCCAGTGCACATACCATGTTCGGTGTAGATGATGGATGGCCCACCAGTAAGGGTCTTGGTTCCCTCTTGGCCCTGCTGGGTGACCAAATTGTCATTTAGAGCCCCGTAATTGACTTGTTTTAAATATAGTTACTACCTGTGAATATTATTAAAAGAAAAGACATACAAATATATATTGTGAAAGAAAACAATCTAATAAGATATGATTATATAAATATATAAATTTAATTATCTGTAGATATTATTTAGGTTTAATTACAGGGATGTTTATATTATAGTTGTAAAGGTATATTTACATTGATCATAGTTAATATATCTATATATATGCTATAGATTATATGGAGATGTTGTAGATATAACTAAATATTGCATATAATTATACAAATAGACTAAGCAATAGGATAAAATACTAGTCCATTCATGTTGTAAAAATAAAACAAGTTTCTAGAAGTGAGGAGCCCAGTCCCCCAGGGACCTCGGCACCAGCAGCCATCCACGCTGTCTCTGCTACTGGTTGAGAGCAGATACTAAGACAGTGGGCAAATTGGAAGCCTACAGCTTCCTTTCATCTTCTCTGAATGCTTTGGAGTCACTTTGATAATGAATTTGCATGTGGATTAGCATGTGATTGACACCCATCCAAGTTCTTACTGCTTAAAGTTGTACAAAAACTTGCATTTAAAATTCCTAAAAGTGTATGTTCATCCTTTGGAAAACAAGTAAGTTTGCTATGAATCAAAAAGTCCTCAGAATGTTGGGTGCCAAGAGCAAGGGACCATGTTCCCTGCCTCTTCTTGGCTCATCCTAAGCAAATGTACCTCTTTACAATAAAAGCACCACCTGCCCCAGATCCATTCCAGAGATGACAGATGCTGTGTGCTGTTGCTTGACCTGTGACCTTGCCTATGGCCACAGTGGACAGGTCTGGTGCACCCCTCCTGGTCTCTCCACTCTTCTCCTTCCACTTGTCTGAAGCCCTGATAGGCCCAGGCCCTGTGGTCCATGAGGCTGGGGAGCATGAGCTCCAAGAGGTAGTTCTGAAACAACAGGGGACAAAAGCTTGGGAATAAATACACCTACCTCTCATCCCTCACAGGGGACTGTTTAGAAGTGCATGCCACCTGGTTTGAGTGCTTTAACAGAACTGAGCCTAGGTGTCCACAGCGAGGACCTGCTGCACACCACCCCCTTTGCTGGCTTTTCTACCCACCCTGCTTTGCTATGCCCTTGCTTCTGTTCCCAGATTCACCCCTGAATAATCTGCTTCACCATCTGCTTTCAGAGCGTCACAGGCTGAGTCCCTTGCCCAGAGATAACTGCTCCTATGGGGTGGAATGTGTCCTTTCAGACTGTTTTACCATGCACACATACATGCATAAACCAGGGGTGGCTGACCCCCTGGCCACAGCAGGGTATCAGTCCATGGCCTGTTAGGAACTGGCTGCACAGCCAAGGGAGAGCAGCAGGCAAGAGGTGGAAGCCTTTCTGTATTTATAGCTGCTCCCTACCCTTCCATTGCCACCCAAGCTCTGCCTCCTGTAAGATCAGCAGTGCCACTGGATTGTCATGAGGGGGTGAGCCCTACTGTGACCTGCACATGAGAGGGATTCAAATTGCGGGCTACTTATGAGAATCTAATCCCAAAGCCACCCCCATCAACCATGGAAAAATTGTCTTCCATATAGCTGGTCCCTGGCTCCAGAAATGTTGTGGGACTGCTGATATACCCGATGGCTATTCTGCTCTGTGTGTGTGTGTGTGTGTGTGTGTAATTTTATATCTTTTTTTTGAAATCCCCCTGCTCATCCCTTGCATTTCCCTCTCCCTAGCCACAGCTCTTTCCAACTCTTTTGATATCTTCTTCCAAATTAAAATTACATCCATGTATTACATCTTCTTGGGTTTTTAAGACAATCTCAAATTGTGAGCTTCACACTGTGGATGGTTTTTCCCCCTATGTGCACTACACCAGCGCTCCATCACCAACAAGCAGAAACATTTGCCATTCACCCCCTCACTCTTCTCACATGTGTCAGCATGGTAGTGAGCTCAGCTTGTTAGGTTATTATGTGCCCATTGCTCACTCAGCCTCAAATTCTCAGTCAGTTGTGAGAATCTCTTCTCAAACGTCCACGCCATTGATACCTCACAACTGTGTTCTCACTGAACTCCCTCCCGGGACCTTCTTGCCCACCATGGACAGCCCAAGTCACACCTGCTGCCCTGTGATCTCCCTTCTGCGTTACCCCTACTCCTGAATTGTTTCCCTGCCTCTAGTTGCCTGTGTCTCTCTCTTTCTTAATTTGCTCCCTCACTTGCTCTATGTGAGACCTTCTTGAGATCTCACGTGCAAGGTCTAGATTTCCAGTGATACGTCTGAAAATGTCTTTGTTACTTTCACTGAATATAAAATGTTAGTTGGAAACCATTTTCGGCTGAATTTCACAGGGATGACGCCGTCATTTTCTAGCCTGATTAGTGTTAAACGCTGCAGAGCCCTTTCATTCTTGATCCTTTCTGGGTGACATAGTCCTTCTCTGTCCCCTGCGAGAAGCCCTTCTGTGCAGCATCCTCTCTCTGTCCTGAGAGTCCTCAACTTCCTGAATTCTACTGTGGTTAGCACCCATCAGTTCTGCTAGGCTCTCCATGGACACTGTCAGTTTCTCTCATGTGCTTTGTTTCTGGGAAATTTTCCCAAACATTTCCTCTCTTAAAGTTGTTTCTGTTGTTTCCATCTGGAATTCCATTTCTTCAGTGTTGAACCTCCCGGCCTGTCCCTCTCAATTTCTTGTGTCCTCTGAAAAACTGTTTATTTTCTTTATTTATTTATTTATTTTATTTTAAGGATAAAAGGAGGGAAACATTAACAGACATACAACATTTTACAACATATCACAAGCAGAATACAGACAATACAGAGTT